TGTGTGTGTATGTATGTGTGTGTATGTATGTGTGTGTATGTATGTGTGTGTATGTATGTGTGTGTATGTGTGTGTGTTTGATATAATCAGAGCCACTGAACAGGCCGGCATATGATGGCCAGGGCAAGCACTCCGGCAGAGCAGAAACACCCGCAACGAGAACTCCAGGAGAATTGAGCTGGATGTGTTCTCATCTCTGCATAGCCCGGAGTCGACGACACGGCAGATAGACGAGCAGGCGGTATTGATTACCTCGCAGCTTCGTTCGGCAGCTACCTAATCAACAGCGGGCTACTCCTTGATAATGATGAGACGGTCTAACCCATGAATGGCGAAGTCAGTGAACTCAGGCTGGAGTAGTAGCATTGGCAGGCCGCCCACGCCTCCAGAGAACACCCTCAACGAGACAGCACAGAATCTGCCGGTCCCCAACCAATAACTTGCTGCCCAATATCGGGATCCATCAAAGACAGGCTAGCATTCTCATGTGATAAGATACAATTCAGACCGTCGCTTCGGTACCACCCTTCCATGCCGGGTCAAAGCGACCGTTCTCGGTTTGACGGCTGCCCATGCCTTGTACTTTGTACTGGTTCGGTGGCACTCCCGCGCGCTGGGGACTTCCATGGTCACTTTCCCCATAATGCGTATCCTACCTGAAATAGATCAGAGCGGTTGGAAGTTGGCAACAGTAGGCACACTCGCAATGATTGGGGGGCATGCCTTGGGTACCGCCGTCGCCACAGCCCTACAAATTACGCGGCTTCAGACCAGGACGGCCTCAGACATTATAGAATAAAGTCGGATTTCTCGGGCTTGCCAAACATAGCTGGCTCGGCGCTTGTCTATACCGCACGTCACTTGGCTGGGCTTTGCCACGGAGAATTTCATTTCGAGTCTAAACCATGTGCTCGGCCAAGCGGCGGCATGAATGGGGAGGGCGGCGAACAAGGAGCGCGACCTGGGGCGACAATAAGGGATATTGGGTCTGGATTGGCATGGGGCTGCTTTTACCCGGGACACTCAATGAGCCTTATTTGCACATGGCCAGGACTTTACACTGGCAAGGTACTCTGTACCGCTTCCGGAGACCCGGCAATTGTGGCAGGCGCGGCAGGAGGTGACCAATAAGGCTTGGGAGACGCTCAACACCAATCGTTGGTATTATAGCCAAATGAAAGAACAAGTCGAACTTGTTCCGTTGCATCGGCAGTTGCTGTCAACCACGGCGCCTGGACCGGGGCCACTGCTACCATCCCCTGATCGATGAAACGGGGATGAGGGCGAGGGCGGATGAGGCATGACCGACATGCCATGTATAAGTGTCCCTTGGTGGTGCGACGTCGTCCACCCTGCCTTCCCTGCCTCTCGTCGTCCTCAACTCCTTCTTAGTCGTTATCAACTTTGTTTACTCCGAACTAGCCTGTCCCCTCCAGAACAAGCCGAGACAACGACAGCAGTAGAGAAAGGTGACCAAGATGCATCATTGGACTTCCCTCGCCGCGGCGGTGGCGCTGCTGGCCAACGGCGCTGTTGGGCAGAACATGCTGCGATTCGCCTGCTCACAACTCGTCGTCGACCGTGTCGATCCGCTGGTCAACCCGGGCGTCCGCTACACGCCCCATCTCCATCAGATCGTCGGCGGCGACTCGTTCAACCTGACCATGGAGCCGGTCCAGTACGATCTCGCCAAGCGGTCCAAGTGCACGTCGTGCAGCTTCGTGCAGGATAAGTCCAACTACTGGACGGCCGTCATGTTTTTCAAGCACAAGAACGGCTCCTACCACCGGGTGCCCCAGGTCGGCAACGGCGGGCCCCAGGGCCGGCTCATCAACGACGGCGGCCTCGATGTATACTACATCCCGAGCGGCCGCGTCACAGCCTTCAAGCCCGGATTCCGCATGCTGGCGGGCAACGCGGCCAACACGGACGACAGCAAGGTGGCGCGGGGCAACATCTGCCACCGCTGCTGGACGTCGACAAACGACAACAACTTCATCGGCGGGGCACCCTGCACCGGCGACGACACGGTGGGCATCCCGCAGGACCCCAAGTGTAAGATGATCCGGCAGACCATCATCTTCCCGACCTGCTGGGACGGCAAGAACCTCGACTCGCCCGACCACAAGTCGCACGTCGCCTACGGCCAGGGCTCCGGAGCCAACGGCGGCGGCACCTGCCCGTCCAGCCACCCGGTCAAGCTGCCCCAGGTCATGTACGAGCTCATGTGGAACGTGACTAACTTCGCCGACCGCAACATGTGGCCCTCGTCGGGCCCGGCTTTCGTCTACAGCATGAACCTGGGCGGCTCGGCCGCCCACGGCGACTACGTCTTCGGCTGGGAGGGCGACTCATTGCAGCGCGCCATGGACAACGGCTGCAACCTGAACCGCGACTGCCCAGCCGCCGGCCTGACTTCCCAGCCGCCCGAGAAGTACAACGCCTGCAAGATCAAGCAGCAGGCCCCCGAGCCCGTCGATGGCTGTAAGTCTACTCTGTCTCACACTGCTCGCCCTTACACCGTTACAGTCTGCTGACAGATACGCACAACAGGGCTCAAGGCCATGCCCATGGGCGAGATGGCCATCAAGGCTTAAGGCCTGACTTGATTCTCGACCTCGGGAGCAGTGATCGTGATGATGGCCAGGAGCTTGATCCCTTCCCCGGTCCAGTGGTGGTGAAGAAAGGGGGGCACTCAGGCTTGCCATCCATTGGATTGTCTGTTTCTTTGTGGATTACACGCGGCGGCAAGCGCATGTCAACCACCCTCGGCCGGTACCTAGATGTTGCATTTCTTGTTTAGCCATTGTACTCAAGCCATCCTTTCTCCATGTCTATTCCCATTTGACTATGCATCATCAAGATCATAAAACCAGCGCATTCTGTACCTGGTTTGTCACCACCTCCTCGCCCGAGGATCCGTTCCCTGAGCATCTAACCCAGTAATGGATGTCCTTTCCCAGATCTCAGCTCTCAAGCCGACCTGACACATGAGGAACCACCTCACACAGCCAAGAGGATCGGCGAGTCAAAGGTGGCATTGGACAGCAACAGTTACAGGCTCGAATAGGCATAGACCAACCAGGTGATACTGCATCAGTTGAGGCACAAGATGAAGCTTGAATTGGCTGTCTGAACAGTGTGTCATGTGTGTGTGTTGCTTAAAGAAATGAGGGCTTCGGGACCCTCGCCAGACCCTGCTTTTGGGTGGGTGGCGAGTCTTCCACGCTTACTGCATTGGGCAACAGTGCCCAGCCCCTGAATCCAGGTGCCAAGGGTCCAGTTCAGTTCAACAGGTGGCATCCACTAAACACCTTTAGGGAAGCAAACGTACTGTACGTGATAAGCGAGCGCCTCACTTAACAGACTAGTGGCCCGCACACAAAAAACCAATATGAACCGCCAAACTCGCTAACAATTTATTAACATTCTTTGGTGTATGCGCTACCAAATGTTGTTACATAAGGTGCTCGCTTGTCTCTGGCGCTCGCTTATCATATACGTTAGTTGAATTCTACTAACCATGGAAATTCACTACATAACTATAGAAACTTGCACGGGCTACCCTGATTAGTCTGCTCAGCAATGTGTGAGGCGGACTAATTAGTTAATAAACCCTATTATACTAGTGTCACGAATATAGCCGTATGCAGAAATCTGGTGGGGGCGCGAGGGGAGCGTCCCGCGCCAATCATTTAGAATAGGGTTATAGCTGTTGAACTGATTGGGTTCCTTGGCACCGAGATTCACGGACTGAGCACTGATGTTTAATGCGAGACTCTCAGTCAACACAGATCCATCACAATGACGCAGTTCTTGACATAAACGTCATATCATGGCACACTGTCTCTATATAAGGGGAAAGAAGACGAGCTGTGGTTACAGCTCTCCTTGGTGGACTCGGGAGGTGGAACAAGCCACTCGAGAGGCAAAAAGAGCCGAGAGACTGGCGAAAGAAGCCTATTACCGGGAGGAGCTCAAAGAGAGACTGAAGGAGCGCGCCAGAATAATCCAGGAAGCCCAGACGAGAACTTGGAGGAACGGGGTGCAAGAGGCAAGCGAAGCGAAGAAGCCGGACAAGATGTGGGCCTTGGAAAGGTGGGCTAGACTGCGGAGCTTCTTACCACCAGAACCCCCGAGGCTGCCAGCGTTCATAGACGCTTCAGGACAAGTGGTGGCCGCAGATCATGTGTGACGGGCACCACCCAAGGTCTGGTCAGATCGCACATACAAAATCGATATTGCTACAACGAGAGCAAGAGCTAAATGACAGGAATGGGCGTGCAACCAGACCTTAAGTACTGGAGCAGAGGCCTATGCGTTAGCATGACCCTAGACGTATGATCAGACCCCATGACGTATGCATAACCGCAAGCATATGACATAACCATGACAACAGGAACGGGGAATTCCGTGACATCATGACCAGAAGGCTGAGGCTCTGGCTAAGAAGCTCTTCCCAAGCCCTCCAGCAAACCTCGCCGACGTCCAGGACCAAGATTTCCTCGACGACTGGGAGCCGGAATTCGATGTCGAGCAGAAGGTGACGCTGGCCGAAGTAGCGGAGGCGATAAGGAAGGCGGGCCCTTGGAAGGCACCGGGTGAGGACCAGCTCCCCATGGGCCTCCTGAAAGCCTGTGGGAAGCCGCTAGCTAAGGTGCTTGCCATCCTGGCCACAAGATGTCTTGAGCTGGGTTGGTTTCCGAGCTGGTGCAAAAGAGCAAAGACCGTAGTGCTACCAAAGCCGGGAAAGGCTCCGCTAGTATATCAGACACCGGGAGCCTACAGGCCCATTGCTCTACTACCGACTTTGGGGAAGGTAATAGAATCGGTAGTGGCCAAGAAGGTCACTCAAGCCGCGGAAACCAACGGCTTACTTCCAGATGAGCAGATGGGCAACAGGGCGCACCGGTCAACAGAGCTGGCAATCCGACTGGTAGTAGCGCAGGCACAAGAAGCCTGGAGACAGAAAGCCACAGCGTCGCTCCTCCAGCTGGACATCTCAGGCGCCTTTGACACGGTCAACCACGTCCGACTACTAGCTACCCTTCGAGAAATGCGCTTCCCAAGGTGGCTCGTCCTATGGACGAAGAACTGGCTGACCGACCGGGAGGCCACTCTTCACTTCGACGGTCAGGCAGCTCGACCGACGGCGATACGAGCGGGGGTCCCCCAGGGCTCTCCTCTATCCCCAGTCCTCTTCATTCTCTACATCGCCTCCTTGTACAAGCAGCTGAAAGAGGAACCACCCCATCTGGCGATAGCGGGGTTTGCGGACGATACCAACCTCTTGGTCTTTGGTCGGGAGCCGGAGGCTAACGTTCGACAGCTGGAGGCAGCGTGGGAGACGTGCCTGCAGTGGGCAGAAACCCGGGGAATGTCCTTTGGCCCCGAAAAGAGCGAGCTGATTCACTTCAACAGAGGGCGCAAACAGTGGACTGACCAGCTGGAACTTGCGCAGCCGGGAGGAGGCACCAGCCCGGTGAAGCCGATGGCAGCGGCCAGATTCCTAGGGGTCTGGCTGGACTGGAAACTCAACTGGAAGGCCCACCTAGGAGAGGTAGAGCGGAAGCTGAAAACACAGAGCTACGCTTTGTCAAGGATTACGGCAAAAACGTGGGGCCTAGGGCTGGCCAAAGCACGAGAGGTATACTCAAAGTGCATCCGGTCAGCGCTAGCGTACGGCGCATCATCCTTTCATACCCCCACCGAGAAGGGGGGTGAGCCAGCAACGAGAGGGATCACCAAGGCGCTGGGAAAAGCTCAAAACAAGAGTCTACGGATAGTGGCAGGAGCCTTCAAGTCCACACCCACTCGGAACCTTGAAACGGAGACATGGGTGCCGCCACTGGACCT